GGCATGCTTGTGTACAATACCCTCTGTTTGGTCGACGACTCCAGCCAGTATGCTGGGAACCATCTTGAGGATTCGACGTTCCTTGTCGTTTACTCTGCCGCACAGGAACTGGAGAAGGGGCGATTCAAGGCAGGGCTGTGTCGGATTCGCTTGAAAAAAAAACAAATTTATGCTATTTCCCACAATGCATGAGCCCATTATTGAGAAAATGACATTAACTTTGTGGAGAACGGGGCATGGATTGAACGTGACATGGACTGCTTGAGGAAGAGGAATGGACATCGGTGGAATGGAGCTTCAGAATCTTGAACGATAAAGAGAAGGAGACAAGACGTACTGGTCGAACTGCACGGGGGTTACACAACATGAGAGAGTGATGTGACCGGAACCAGAGAAACATAGGAGAGAAGGATGAGAGGTAGAAGAAAGGAGGAAGAGCTTCGAATATGCATGGAAAAGTATGAGTAGTCAGCAGTGAGCCATAACAGCAGACGATTGGGTTTATTATCTTCGGGGCCAAGCATTATTGCTTCTGCATTATCGGAGATGAGATAGACAAAGGTAAACCAGACACTGTTCCTGTACTGTGGCGTCCAGTCATCGGTCGTCCCCGAAGCCATCGTTGCACAGCGTGATTCTCCAAGATACATCTAGATGTAGCCGTCCAAGGGATGAAGAATACGCACCACGATATGCCTTGACTTCCTATGACGGTATTACTATCCCAACCTGAACTTCATTATCGTGGCATTTGTGGAGTATTTGATGACAACGGTCATAGATGGCGTCCTCATGTTTGCAACGTTAAAGTACTATGGTCATGGGCAGAAGGTACTAACCATCGTCTACTATTCGGTTTAGTCCTTCCGCTCTGATGAATTCGCAAGTACCATGGGAACGACAGCATGTGTGATGGATCCGTGACTCGTTAACATGACTATTACTCCATAGATTCTGTCTGAGGATTAGCGGCAAAGCAAATAGAAACAAGAAGAATTAGCCAAATGATTTGCGGGAGGCGGCAGAAAGAGGAAAAAAAGAAAAAGGAAAAGGGAAAAGTGGACAAGTTCGAGCTACAGTTGGCACTACGTACTGTTTTCTTTTCGAGCTACAGTCGGCGGCACTACGTATTGTTTCCGCCTTTATTCGAGAGATTGACGTCTCCGCCGCCTCTCTAATTCGTCCATCCATCCATCGTTCCAGAACCCCAGAGACACAGATACATAGTCAAACAGACACACAGACACACAGACACACAGACATACAGACACACAGACGTCAGGAAGGCGGAGCAAAACAAAAAAAGCAAAGGCCCTTTTTACATCCGGGTAAAGCATAAAGGGGAAGAGGAAAGACAAACTCTGGACCTGTCGATGTGAGCTCAGCCCCACGTTGCCCTTCTTCCCTACCGTCCATTTTCTAGGTTTATCCATTATTTCTGAAGTATTTTATTTTCGGATCATCATTCAACGTCGGATGCCCTACAGATCGGCTTTTCGCCGCTGCTGGTAGTTGCTGCATTAACATGTTACAATAAGTTACCCTCTTTCCAGCTTCATGCTATAAATATTCAAAGGCCGTCCTATTGCCCTCTTCCCTCTTCCACGACTTAAATCAAAGGTGTACACTGTTTAAGAAAAATTGCTATGTTACTACCGGCCAGTGATACCATCAGCCTTCTGACTGGACGCTGATTTGGAGTTCCGAACCCACCAAGCTGTTGGAAGACAAAATAATAACGTCTTCGATACCTTCGAGCTTCCAGTGTAAACTCTAATAGCCGGAGCTGGTCAGTAGGGTTGACTCTACCAAAAGTGTTTACTGTAAGGATATCGCATGCACGAATCAGGTGAAACGTATATCTTGGGTTTATATTGAACAACGACTTGGCTAGATTTCCCTCGAAATCCTTACGCTGCAAACCAAATCTAGGCAGCCGTGTTTGCCATCTTCAAGATCACGTCCTTGTCGCAGAACTCAACCACCTTCTTGACTTTGGACCCATCCTCGTTGAAGTACAAGAACCAAGCTAACTCGGCCTGGTACGACTCTCCGCTGTTGGCGTGCACGTCTGCGATAGAGGTGAAAGCGGCGCGGCGGGCCTCGGTATCGACGACTAAGTTCGCAATGATATTGTTTCGGAATTTTAACACCTTGATATCCTTCGCGAATGTCTCCTGATACTTCGTCGTGTCGAAAAAGAAGTCTACCGGCAGGCCAAAGGCCTGGGGCACGGACGCGGGAAGCAGGTACCGGGTGCAGTCTGCAGTAACGTCGCGGTTGATAATGGAGGCGTCGTTCTGGGCCCCGCCCTCTTCGTACGCTGATAGGAAGGCTCGGGCTGTGGCCTCAATGCGCCCTCTGAGGTTTGTCGACGAAGGACTTGAGGCCATGATGAAGTGAGTTGTTGGAATTTTGTAAGAAATACGGTAAGGGATTGAAGACAACGGTGTGGCAGAAAAAGATAGCAGTGATTGTGTATCAAATTGGGTGTACTGCCTATTTATGTCCCACGGGGAACAGCATTCGTACCATCCCACATCAACTTCGGGCCCCGTCTTACTACGAGCCATACGCTTCCCGGCGATAGGAGTAATTCCATAAGTTAACACCGTCCTTTGAATGATGCTTCACAGAGAAGGTCAATCAATATGATCTCCTGTACTGCCACTCACCTTTCCCCTCACAGATCGGTGAAGCGCCTTGATGACATTTTCCCCTTTTTCGGCCTAGTGCGTGTCTTACCAAAAGTTAATCAACTGGTCTGGAGCGCCCGTGGTTTACTAGCTCCACTCGATGACATTAGGCCCATAAGATAAGATTGCTTAACCCCGGACCCTCAGCTTTGATAATCAGGAACTACCGCAGCCCTGGAACTTACTATTTTGTGGAAAGAGTGACTAACCCGAAGGGGGAAAAAGGTCATCACAGCGGGTCATCGATCAGTGATGGGAATGGTAAGCCCGAAGGAAAGGACAGAACATGACATCATATTGATTGATCTTAATCCAAGAAGCAAGCATGTGTACAGCGATTTGTAAGTCGTAATCTTCCCAAGGAATGCCCTCCTGCAACGAGCCGTGTAGATGTTTTAAGCGAGTTGACTACATAAGTGAACCACTGCCCTCTCCTGCATCCACTCGACTTCAGAATCCAACTCCTCGATATCACATCACACCTCCTCGTGATACCTAAGCAAGACTTGTTCCTCATCACCAGCTCCCAGAATCCCACACCAGTGCCATTATGTCGCGCTACGCTGAAGCCCACGCTAGGCCAAACGGTCCTGGCGATGCGCGCCCGACGGCCCTGCAAATTATCAAGGACGAGGGCGTTGAAGGTAAGCTCAAGGACAAGGTCATTGTCATCACCGGTACATCTTCCGGCATCGGCATCGAAACCACCCGCGCCCTGGCCACCACTGGCGCCACCCTCTTTCTCACGGCCCGAGACGTCGCCAAGGCCCAATCTGCCCTCGCTGGAATCTTCGAACCTTCCCGCATGGAGATTGTCGAGATGGACCAGGCAACCCTCTCTTCTGTCCGCGCCGCGGCCGCTGCCATTCTCGCGAAGACCTCCAAGATTCACCTCCTTGTGAACAATGCCGGCATCATGGCCATCCCCGACCTCCGCCTAACCGCTGATGGCCATGAACTCCAATTCGGCACGAACCACCTCTCGCATTTCCTCTTCTACAAGCTTCTGGAACCTGCTCTCCTCGCTGCTGCCTCTCCCGATCTCCCGTCCCGCGTCGTCTGTCTCGCTTCCTCAGCCCACAACGTCCACGGGATCAATGACCCCGACAACTACGACTTCCAGAAAGGCGGCTATGACCCCAGTGTGGCCTACGGGCAATCCAAGACGGCCAACATTTACATGGCTAACGAGATCGAGCGCCGCCATGGCTCGCGCCACCTACACGCCACGAGTGTCCATCCTGGCCTTGTCCAGACAGGGCTGACCCAGCATATGCCCCCGGATGCTTTTAAGGGAATGGAGTACTTGTACCCCACTATGAAGAGCGTTGAGCAGGGTGCCGCAACATCGGTATGGGCGGCCGTCGGCAAGGCATGGAAACATGAGGGCGGCAAGTACCTCGTTGACTGTGCCGTGGCAGAGCCGTATGCGGAAGGGGACGACAAGTTTACTGCGCCTGGGTATGCCCCCTACGCCTATGACGTAGAGAGGGCGAAGAGACTTTGGAGCGACTCTCTCAAGCTTGTGGGCTTGCAGGATGAGGAGTAGGGAACCAAGAGAGCCCTGGCCCTCCAGTATACAGTCAAACTCGTGGTTCCCTTTGAGTATAATCATATGAGTCACGAAGCCATACACTTCTGTACGGTAGTTACCTATTAGTTTCATCCCAGACCAAACTTGACCAACTGGTATCAATACAAGGCTAGGCCGTGGAGTCGCTGTCAGCTGTCGCTGAATGGAAATCTGGATCGCTGTGTGACTTTTTCCATATTATTCCAGATCTAATCATGTTTTTAAGAACCCCTTTTCCCATGCAGCGACCTTCGCACAGCTGCCTAATACAAGCAGCTTCGACTAACAATATCTTTGCCGTGTAACCTATATTGCTATAATTCAACTCCATGAAATAGCATCCCCTAGGCGCATCGATTGCATTACTGTCCTTAACCTTGCAGTATGAAGTTCCAATACCACGACACTCAGGCCCCGAATACCTTCGTTATCTGCATCTTCATCCAGAAGCCTGGGGGACTATAGTTTGTTGCGCAACAGTAGATATCATGCGACTGAATCCGGAGATTCGCCTACGAGACAATGTCGACCCCCGCGGCGAGAGCTGTCTTGGCGGCAGGTAGGGAGTCCCAGTAGCGACGATGCGGGGTGTAAACGTTCTCGGCTATGGCGTTTTGTGTGCGTTGGTTATCACCGTCCGTTGAGGTGTAATCTATCATCGACGGTTCTCTAATGATAGGTCCTATTACATGTGAGCCAGCCATCCTTCACATGCTTTAAGACATATTCGGCTACCCTTCCGATTCAGAGAGATGAATAGGTTCCTCTCCTCTCATCAGCCTCCAGCGGTTACTAGATTCAACTAAATCGTCGCATCCTTCCGCAACCCACGACCACTTCGCAAAAAAGCCAGGGGTGGCCTCCCAGTTCTGCATGTCGTGCGGTTCACCCCAAACAATAAGTCCCTTGCGCCCCGCAGTGACCTCATCCTCGTCGCGTCCTGCGGTGAGGGGTAGGGTCCACATGGTTTCGGGATCGGAGACAGTAATGGTGAGGGGCGTACCTTGCCGCTTTTGAGCAGGCGTGGCACTCATGAGCTCGCCAATGAGGTCTTGTAGCAGCTCCCAATGGTCGAAACTTCCCTCGCGTCTTATAAGATTGTCACGGACGCGGGGGAAGGGAAAGAGGTTGATCCATATGGAGTGCAAGCGGGTTTGTTGGAGGCGGGTCGGGACGAGGGAGAGAGGAATATTGGGGTTCAGGGGGTAGACGGTGGTGTCGTCACGGTAAGGACCGCTGATGGGACAGGTGGTTGGGGAGGGAGGATTATCGGTCCAGCCCGTGAGAAGGGTATTGAGAGTGCGCTTGTTAGAGACAAAAGCACGGAAGACATTATACTGAATAAGATGGAGGAGATGATCGGTTGAGAGGGGGAAGATGAAGGACGGGACCGTTAGGGACGTCTGGGTATGGACCAGAGTGGGTGGTGGTTGTCCCCGAGGGACTCCGGCGCGTTCAGGTGTGGACATTGATGCAATGACGTGAGTGTGAGACTGTCGAGGGGAGATATACGTGGCGGTTGCGCCTTTCGATGCTGTCGAGGCGTCTTGGGAGGGACAACCATCAAGTTCGTCCAGGCGCCAGCGCCTGACTTGGAACTGGCGTGGCGTCTGAACAGACCCCGGGTCTTGCTCCCTAATCCGCAGTCCTTCAAAGCTCATGAGCTCGGCAAGGGGTGAGGCATTGAGGGAAAGACCCACGGTGTGCTCGTTGGTTCTTCCGGTTTTGGATCTTCCTGCGCTGTTTCTTGGCCGTCTCTGCCATAGCCTCGGCGTCGACGTGGTTGGGGTGATCGCCGACGCTGTTTGTTTCGCCTTCGCCCATGGCTGAAGAAAGCAGAGTAACAGAGTGTTCCATTATCCTGAGTGACTGAACATCCAGTTCCGCGTTGCTGTTGTCGAAACGTAGTGGTAAGTAATGGAAAAAGTGAACCGGGCCTGGTGTGTTGGAGTTGAAATCTGTCGTGCACTGAACAACGTCAATCAACGTCCATTCCTGACAAGATGACAAGATGGTAGTGTCATGTGACTAGCACGTGCGCATTCGCCGCATCACTTAACGAGGAATCCAAGAGCTGATGATCAGACCTTTCAACAAAAATGCCTTTCGCGCGTTTGCGGTTCGGACCAGTAATTAGCTCATCTGAACACGCACCGCCCGAGGCAGCCCTGGAGAGATTCTTCGCGGAGTCGCGAAGTAACGCGAGGAGCAAATTTGGCTGCCAACAATGTAAGTCAAAGCGTGTCAAGTGTGACGAGTCTCGTCCGACATGCAAGCGATGCGCGCGGCAGGGTCTGATTTGCTCTTCGACCCCACCCCTCACAAAGTGGCAAGTGGAGACGCCCTGGTTCTCCCTGAAATGCGACACAATTGTCAATCGAAGATTGCTACAATACTGGCTGGAGAGAGTTAGTCAGATGCTGGTGATCGACCCTGAGGACAATCCGTATTCGTTCCCCGCCCTCGAATATATACTCCAGTCGCCCGCCCTGATCCATACTATCCAATCACTCAGCGCCAACCACGAACAATACTTCCCCACACTTGCCCCTATAGTTGCGCTCGAAGAACGGGGCAAAGCTCTGGCATGCCTTCGGAAAGAGGTAGACCAGAACCAGCGGCCACCGCAAGCATTTCTTCTAACAGTGATGCTGATGGCATTAGCCCACGGCGCTGATTGTAACATGAACGATTATGGCAAGCAGCATTTGATTGCCGCGCGAATCATGATCAACAGGATGCTCCAGAACACCTCTTCCCTCATGGATGACGAGCCTCTCGCCCGGCTCTGTCTCGGAATGTATCTTTACTGGGATATGTGCACCGCATTCCTGCTAGATTCAGACGAAGAGCGGCGGATCAATTCGCTTAATATGTCAATTGCCATCCACAGAATGGGTAACTGGCACCACCCAATGTATGGACCGTGTACCGAACTCCTCTTCATTTTGGGAAATGTGGGCCGGTACTGCCGGCGGATCCTTGACTCGCAGCAACGCAACTTCGCACAGGAAGCCATGTTGGAGCAACAACTATGCTGTTGGAAGGTATATCCCCCAAACATCGGCTTGGGGCATCTATATGAAGCGCTCCGCAAACATGGCCTTATTTTCCTGTATCGAGCCAGTGGGCAAAATGATCAATTCACGAATCCGGATTTGATGCTTCAAAGCCGGGACTCCTTGATCAAAGACTATGCCGAAGAGACTGTCCGCCACCTGATGCAGATACCTGCAACCTCAAACTACCTGAATTTCCAATCTCTTCCGCTTCTTGCGGCTGGGTCTGAGCTGCCTGGTTCAAGAAACCTTTTGCGAGCCCAGGTTCGCGAGAGACTTCGGGCCGTATATTCGCTGAACCGGCTTCCTGCAAATCTTCACACCCTTCAACTTCTCGAAGAATTGTGGAATGCCCGAGATAACGGTAATCCATCATTCTGGCTATACCACATGCTACAAAAGAATTGGCGTTTGCTCCTAGGATGATTCTTTTACCGATCTCGGTCTGTTTCGTCCACTAAAGGTGGACAAGCCCGGTTATATCGTTTCACCTCAAGCACTTCATAATGACAAGGCCAAGTTCTGCCTCCGAGACAAGTCAAAATCTTTGTCACTCGTGACGTTAAACCAAAAGATGAGGGCGGTCGGATATCAATTTATCCGGTCCTACCTAAACTGGGACAATAGTAGACGTAGATAAACTTGCCTCAGTTGTTAGCTGGGCGACCTATCTTGGCGCTTATTGATACAATGGCGAGGGCACATCCTACAATCTGTTGTGTGATCCTGACGACAACCGCCGTAGTCCCTTGCACAAGATGGTGTGTTCCTTTATCAAGGAGGTTATAACGCCTTAGGTTTAAAGCGAGGGTGCCAAACCAAATGCAAAACAGTGAATCTTAGACAGAGACTTTAGCTGAGAAACCTTGCAAAGCCTTTTGCGAAGTCTTCTGCTTATCCAATCTCTTCCAGTATGCCAAGAAAGTCTCTCGTCCAGGCAACAGCATCCATTCACACGCTTGCATTGTCATCATCTTCATTAACCCATAGAAGTGGATGTCAGCTGCAGAAAATCTGTGAAAATCTGTCTCCACATAATCAGGTTCTTTCCCTCCAATTGATCATCAAGCATGTTCAAGGCCTGATTGATCATAGCTTTCTGATTTAACCTCGCCTCCGGGGTCGGAAGACGGTTTCCTTTGTATAAATCCAAGGTTGCAGGATCGTTCCTGAACCAAGCAAAGATCGCGGAGCCAGATTAGGCTTTTTCTTTGGCCCATGGCTCCGCTGGTTGGTCCTTGGCTCGGGAGCCAACTCGTTGGCAACGGCAACGGGCCCAGGATGATCTCACTTTTGAGGGGAAGCTGACGCTTGTCTCGGTTACTGGCCCAGAACGGAAAGTGGAGACCTTGAAGTCAGGGGGCTACTAAGAGCGACATTTCAGAGCAGAATATCTATAGGACACTGATAATCCAGTTCATGGACTCAGACGAACACCAACTTTTTTTCTCTTTTTTTGGAGGAACCTTTCACCGTTAAAGTCTCCCAGTCTATTCAAGGACAGCTTCCGCAATGGAGTCTTTCGATCAGATCGTTGCTCAATTTGTGACGCCCAGTGATTCCAACCGTCGCCCACTGCAAGGTCCTATCACTCTGGGCGCTGTCAATAAAGAGGGTATGGGAAATTGGTACAAAAATAGCGACTGACCCATACACTTGATTAATGCGCTCCGTGCAGACACGTTCGAGTATGTAAAGTCATTTGGCTGTGCCAATGACGAGAATGTCGAGCAACCTTCGGGTGATCCAATCTATGGCATCGCGTCATGCACGAAACTTATCACGACGATTGCAGTCCTGCAATGTGTCGAAAAGGGCCTATTGGCGCTGGATGGCGACATTTCCGAAGTCCTCCGCGAATGGGAAAATCCGAAGATTCTAGTCAAATTTGACAAGGGTGGAGAGCCTGTTCTGGAAGATAGCAAGGGCGTTATAACCCTTCGGTAATGAGGACCGTCAAGCCAAGCAGGAAGGTAATTGGTGAGCTAACACCTCTGTCACAGTCAGCTTCTAACTCATTCGAGCGGAATGGCATACGGATTTGAAAGCATGCATCCCGATCTAGCTCGGTTCCAGGAATTGAGAAACCGCAAGACCCGTGAGGGCCGAACAGTTGTGAGATACCGTCCCCGTGACAGCCCCAGCCTCATACTTCTATTGAAGATAGCTCTGTTCGATATGAATCGACATATCATTAACGCTTTTTCCAGGAGGAATCTTTCGAACCCGTTCTTATCCACCATCCGGGGGAGCAATGGGAGTACTCCCCTGGTATTGATTGGGCTGGAAAAATGGTTAGTATTCACAACGAATATTCTTCTCCTGATTGTCTAACAGTCTTTTTTCATCTCAGGTGGAACGAGTCAATGGCGATATGAAACTTGGTGAATATATGCAGCGCCACATCTTCGATCCACTGGGCATCAGGGATATGACCTTCAGTATTTCCGCCCGCCAGGACATGCAATGCAGACTAGTTCAATGCTGGGAGCGCTCAGAAACTGGAGGCATGAAGAAGGCCCATTACAGCATGCGGCCCCAACCTGTTGAAGAACACTTTGGTGGTGGAGGGCTGTATGCAAGTGCCATTGATTTGCTGAAAGTATACAGAGCCATATTGCAAAAGGATTGTAGAATCCTAGGTGAAGAGATGGTCGATTTAATGTTTACGCCACAACTGCAACACACAATTGGGCTTGACAATCTAGCAAACTGCCCTCCATCTTACACGAACAGTATCTTGAACTCTGTTCCATCCACAATACCAATCAACTTTGGACTCGGTGGTCTGCTTAATTTGCAGTCAGTGGTAGGACGACGAGGTTCGCATTCGCTGACGTGGTCGGGTGTGGCAAACTGCTACTGGGTAAGAAGTTCTCTCCCAATCGAGTCTTGAACATACGCTAATACGTTGGTTTAGTGGATAGATCCTCAGAATGGTATTGCTGGAGTGTACCTCTCACAATTACTTCCTCCTGGTGAGCCTGAGGCTGTCGAACTTCTGTCAAAGTTTGAGGAGACAGTTTATTCCTTTATCGCTGGTAAATAGCATAGTTTTTATCCAGTGCTATATCAAGCGCCTTGAACTGAAGTGACTCGTACGCCTGAATTGGTAAATCTTACCGGGAGAAACCATAGGCAAAGACTACTCCGGGCTAGCTGGTAGTCTTCGGTAGTTGAAGATAGTCTCCGACTTTTGGATTCACTTCGCTAGTAATCTCCATCCTCACATGCTTCAGGATGGTCAGATGGCATAGGACGACTGACGCGGTCTGATTGGTCACGTAGGAATACCTGCGTGATATACGTGACGATAATCATTGTAAATCAAAGGAAGATTGCTCCGATTTCAGAGGGGACACAAGAGGTTATGTAAACAAGACGCAGAGCATGTACTTTCAAAGCTTAATATCTTGCTTAACATGCCTGCACCACCTAGTAGCATATCAAAAACCTCGGGCGTAGTAGGTTCCAGGAACCGTAATGCTCCCCAAAATTTGGCGGGGAGTACAGTTCAGCATTCAGGGGCCGAACGAGAAATTGTGATTGTGTGGCTTGAAATATTCTGGGACAAATTGGCGGCAGCCTTCAACTCTTGCCTCCAGCTTGAGGATGTCGAAAAGGGTTTTCTGGGCTTTGTCCTGCAACATGGTGACGTCGCTGAAAAGCCCTTGGGCGAGAAGTAACCAGTCTGTGGCGATAGAGAACCTCTGGTGGGCCAAATAGAAAACATATATGGGTTAAACTCCTTCCTGATACACACATTGCGAAGAGTGCTCGCTGACATTGAGCTGTGCAGAATTACTCACCTGAGGCAATGCTGCTCTTGGGTGCGGCATTTGCTTATATGGTACGTAAGGCTCAATCGCAAGAGAGGAAATGTTGAGAAGTTTAGAACAAGCCTCTCGAAGTCCCCTCCCGTCACATCCGTCTTTATCAAGCCGCTCCATGGATTTGACAAGCACTCTGATCATTATTAGCGTGAAGGGTACACCGTAGACCTGCAGACGGGAAACTACGAGAACGATCTTCAGGCTGCCCAAGATAGTGCGTGTAATATCAACATCGGCGAGCCTTTCCGCATTCTCGGGATCAAGAGGAGAGTAGGAAAAGGTGTCTGAAGGATGATTTATTGGGGCAGATAGGCTTTCTAATATATGCCAGGTCTAAGCACGATCCGGTGAGATGTGAAGATGTTCAAGATGGAGATGTAAACATACTTAGCATTGTCGGCCATCCGAGCGCTTTGACCTTGTGGCTTAAAGCCCCATAGTCAGCTTAAACCCGAAGGCTGGGCTGCCGAGCCATACAAGTGCTGCCAGATGGTCTAGCGTTGATTTAGTGTTCCCAGCTATTTAGTTATCCACTTCTGTATTAGTCACACAAAACTCTGTTGCGAAAACGGTCTATTCCATTCCGATTTCGGTTACCAGACTCCCTGGCCATCCAAGGTTGGCCTTACTGTTGAATTAGCCCACGTTAGGGATAATCACCAGATATGAAGCTGACAACCACACGCTATCTACATGGGGAGATACGTGCCTACCATGTTTCTGGTAGCGTGTACGGGCCTCTAGAGCCGTCGGCGACCTACAGGGTCGAGTGCTCTGACAAGCGACTGAACCATGCGGCGGCGCCGAACCTGGACCGGGCTGTTTACACTACCTCCCACAGCGTGGTGTGCATCAGCCAGAACGGTGACATGCTGTGGCACTATGACCTAGAACCTCGCTCCATCCAGCGCTACTTGCGTGATCCCAGATGCATGTTCTCCCTGGACGGGGCCTGGGTGTGGGTGTATCGCCCCGACGCGACGGCCGATCGTGGCCCTGATATATTAGTCGTGCTACGCGCCGACACAGGCGAGGAAGTCGCTAGGACAGAGCTGGATAGCGTTGGGGAGGGAGCCGAGCTCGCCCTACATCCCGACGGACGGCATATCCTGCTAGATGTAGGCGAGGGCCAGGACGGTGTGAAATTATACCGAGCAGCATTCACTGGCGATGACATCGACTTACACTCTTATGGGTGGGACGATCGCTGCTTGCTCGACGTGGCGCCCGATGGCCAGTGGTTCATGACGGTCGACCATGGCCGGCATGACGTCGCCTTTCATGACTTTATTAGTGGCGAGGTAGTACTGCGGATACCAATTGAAGCATTTGGCTACGAGTATTTTGGGGATGATGAAGCAGGTATGGACTGGAACGGCGGCTTCCTCAATGCGGACATCGCGGTCGTCACGATCGTGGGCGAGAAGGACGATGAGGAGTGGCACCGCCACTATAGCATCGACCTACGCACAGGTACACCGCGCGGCCGCTTCGAGGCATACTCGCGTGATAACTATGACTTCGAGCCCCTAGGAGACGGCACCTGGATTGTCTCAGGCCCTGACGGCAGCGCCGTCCGTCGCCGGTTATCCACGACGGACCAAGGTGTTTAGGACTTAATTATTGTTGAGGCAACCGAGCAGTGACGTGGATTGTCTAATAATCGGTAGTGGGCTGATTCCCCTACTTCATACCTATTTGCGGAGTTTGACAGAAATAGTTGGCGTGGTTAGGCACAGGCCGATTCTAGTCCCTTTCCTGAGTGCACCGCCCATGGTTCTCGGGGCATGCTGGCTATCAGGAAATGCATATCCTTGAGGTTACCTCCTTTACGCCTCTTCTTAATGATTGACAACGGCATATATCGACCAGGCCTCACATACTATTGAACGACAGAGCATTATTATCATCTGGGCCCAATGTTCGACTTCATGGTTGACAGTTTTTCATGTAGTGAGTGGCAAAGAGGTGAAGGGTCATGTAGTGTACTCTGAGACGTCAGTAGGGTTGGCTTTACTGAAATTGCTTACACTGCAAAACTGCAGACTGCGAGTAAAAAGTGATCATTTTCCTTCAGGAAGCCATGCCAACCGATTCTCCTGCGCAAAGTGATCGAAGCACCTCGGAGGTCGCCCAGTCACTTTTTCGACTTCATCATTCTCCCGTGTCTCGAACCCAGTCGAGGCCGCAACCTCCAGCTTTGTCAAAAAGCCCGCGTAGTACTCGGAGACGCCGGCGTTTACCAGCCCCTGGTATCGCTCCTCTCCCGAAAGCTGGACGTGCTCAATCGTTCGTCTCAGGACATGGCTCAGCTTCTTGGCAATGTCATCGTACGTCAAGAGCTCGGGTCCCAGCACCCGGTGGTCACAATTGTGTGAGTCGGGATCCGTTAGAGCACGATAGGCGACGGCCGCGATATCTGTAGCACTGACGAACGGGATTTTGCCCTGCCCGCATGCAGTATAAATCTTGCTTTGATCACGAATGAGTTGGCAGGGAGCCTCCTCGGTTAGATTCTCTAACCAGAGACCAACGTCAGCACTATACCTTCCACGAGAGGTTCCGACAAGTCTGTCTTTGACTGCTCACCCATAAACCAACTGGGCCGAAGCACACAGTAATCCACCTGCCTGTCCAGGAAATGCTGCCAAACCATGCCCATGCCCGGCTTCCCATATTCGGCTGAGCTACCAGCCACGAGCACGAAGCGACGGACGCCGTGCTTCTCCAGAGCGTAGTCGATGAACTCATTTAAGGGCTTCCATGGCTCCGGCGCCTGTGGTTCCATTAGATAGATGGCGGAGATTACCTGGTCATTGACAAACTTGTAGTCAAATGGAATGCGCCAGGTATCCTTATCTAGCCAGTCGAACTTGACGGCCGGCATGCTGGGAGGAGCGGCGGACTGGCCGCGGCGAGAAGCCAGTAGGAAGGGGATATTATCATTTTGGAGAAAGTGTGCTACTCGGATCGATGTTTTGCCGGTGCCACCAGTCAGGAGGATTGCCATTATTAGTGTGTGCTGATATCGTTAGGTGGAAAGATGTATAGTGACGAGTTTGTTCTCACATATTGGGGCTTGAGGCCCCCGTTTAAGACCCAATCTCTCCTGTCGGAATTAGGACTTAAGATCTTGAGCTCCGACGTGCAGGGGAGTAAAAGTCCGTCGGACTTGACGGTTCCGGAACAAGGGACAGGGAACATGTCAAGGACTGACCATTCTACTGACCCGATTCGGGATCCGAGGCCCGCCACCAGCTACTACATTGCGCCGAAGTTTATAAGATTTATGTCCCAGCCATGGAGGTACAGAGAACCACCCATTATGGGCTGTCCCATTCAAACAGGCTTCTTTATCTTAATCCATTCTTCCAGCCGTCCTCTCCCGTAAAGGGTAGAATGATTGTAGCTCCCAGGTTCCATCTACTCAAACTGGGCGATCAGAGCTGGTGTCTGGAATAGTTACGCGAATACTCACACCTGGCGTGCATTCAGTTGTGGCAGATGCGAGTATCGGGCACCAAGAGCTTGCCCCCACTACAGGCCTGCGATATCCTGCAGAACCATCTGCCAGATATTGCGTCCTACATCATGATTGACCCCGTGTGTGGGCGGCGGGGGCCCCATGCCCATCTTCAAGGCAACGCTCAACGCTTGGCTTGCAGCCCACCATGGCCCGCCAGAGTTCCAATATCTCCTACATTGCGCAGCCTGTGGACGCAACCCAGGTCAGAGCCTGGCAAGAAGGAATGCTACCCGCTCAATCTCTGCTTCCATCACTTCGACGACCCAGCGGCGGCGAAGGTGCAAAGAAGTGCGATCCAGTTTTCGGATGCGTTTGTGTAAAGCAGGCGTCCCTCCTCCTCTCTCCCCCCCTCCCTTTTCCACCTTCCTTAATATTATTAGTTACTGCAGAACCATGCATGCTCATCCGCCTGGCAGAATCTTTGAACCCATCGCCTACATTGAAGGGCTGCAAGGAGGTGACGTGATGGCCGAGCACGACAATACACGAAATCTATGCCAAAGCGCAGGCGGCCCCGGGGTTCAATGCTATCGTGTCCTTCACAGTAGTTGCAGCCAGCCGCAATGCATCCAAGATCCTGCTGGTGGCCATGCCACAGACCGCGGCAAACATGGAACCCCTAGGAATAGACTTGCTAGAATCCTCTGTCTCTGGTTAGTTTTCGTACAACGTCTCTTTTAGTATGTTTGATAACCTTCTTGTAGAGTAGCTCGCATACACAAGAAAGATGTGGTTACTCTTTCTTGCGTGACCCCTATTATATCATGGCTATAAGGAAAGACCTATTCAGCTGTCATTTACATTCTGCCCTGCAAAGCCAGGTATAGGAAAAGTGTTTGTCTACACAGAATGATAATAATAGTAACTGCTCTGTGGGAGAGTTAGTAGCTCGAAAACAATCCGGATGCACCTGCATGTTGACGACAGCATTCAACATCACTGTTCCCGACACCGCTCCTCGTCCAACTAATTTTTATGCCTGCTGTTGTTTTATTATAAGTGACTAGTAGTAGAAGCAACAGATGCACTTACCTTCAAGATATACAATGTCTGCTTTGCTAAAATCGGAATAGCATATATTGGTGAATAGACTTTCAGAGAGAGAGTCCTCAGGTGAATGAAGGCAGCTACCCTACTAATGTTCTCCAAAGTGCAATATGTAGATCGTAAACTGAAGAGCAAACCATAATCATCAAATAGGAACAGGCAAGCATATCAACGTTGCAACCGAATACGGTTGAATCGCCCACTAGCCTCGTCGGCGTCCCAATTAGGAAGGTGCTGTCAGCCCCCGCCCAGGCCCCAGTAAGACAGATATAACACCCCAATAACTCTTGAAAATATCATTAGACTTCTTTAGCATGATCCCAGTCTACCTGAAGGGGAAAAAACGCAATCATGCTCCCAACCAACATCTCCCTCCACCCCGCCGTCCCCGCCGACGCCCTCACCCTCGCAAAACTCCACAACGCCGCATTCGCCAACGAAGACCTCTTGGAAACCATGTACGGCCCTCTCACGCAGGAAGACCCGCCCTTCGCCACCGACCTGGAGAAAATGATCCGCGACGATCCACATTCCCAGGTCACAAAAGCCATCGACGACGAATCAGGCCAGATCGTAGGCTGGTCCCTTTGGAATATCTACCGCGACGTCGAGGCGCACGCGAAAGCAGATGAAGAGGCGCGCAAACGGGCGGCCACACCGCCGGCGACGTCGCTGTGTCCGCAGGTGTATCTGGATTATCAGGCTTTGAAGGCGAGGATGAGGGCGAAGTGGATTGGGGGGAGGCCGGCTGCTAGTGAGTTGTTTTCCTTATTTCCTGTCGATGTTTGGGGGGGGTGTGTGATGAGAAGGTCGCTGATTGTGTAGTTCTACAAGTTCTGGTTGTTCATCCAGACTACCAGGGTCGAGGGATCGGGACCCAGTTGCTGATGCTTGGGGTGGAAGAGGTGAGACGGCTGCGCTTGCCTGCGTGGTTGGAGGCTTCGCAGGCTGGGTATAGTGTCTACAGGAGGTGTGGGTTTCGTGATGCCGAACTGATGGAGCTGGATTTTACTAAGTATGGGCTTATGGGGATGACGCAAGTTTATTGTATGTTGATGGATGATGTTGAGAAGTAATAGGACTAGAATAGCCAGGTCAGCAATGTACATAGTTCATAGCAAACAAGGATATGTCCAAGATTAGATTAGATCTGGATATTTACTGGAACAGTCAAATTGGGTACACAAATAGATAAAGATCAGCGTGTGTGCATGTTTTCAAACCCTCCACTAGTATGGTTGACATGTCAAATTGGCCATCGGCGAATAATATGCCTTGCATTTAAAGCTGTTCAACTACCTAACTGGACAATAGGCAATTTTGGGCTGTGCATGAAACAACACATAAACTAGGAGATTCATATCTCATAAGACCGTCGCCAATCACAAACGAGCAGGGATATTCTGCTTGCCCTTCAGGTCAAACCGATCCAGGTTCATAACCTTGTTCCACGCCGCCACAAAGTCCTTGACGAACTTCATATCACCATCGTTGCTGGCATACACTTCCGCAATAGCACGCAGCTCAGCATTCGAGCCGAAGACCAGGTCCGCGCGAGTAGCCGTCCACTTCTTCCCACCGGTCTTGCGATCACTTCCCTCGAACACCTCGGCGTTCCCGGCGTCCTTCCATGCGGTGTTCATGTCCAGCAGGTTCACGAAGAAGTCGTTCGACAGAGCCCCAGGGCGAGAGGTGAAGACGCCGTGCGCGGAGCCATCGTAGTTGGTATTGAGCACACGCAGACCACCAACTAGAACAGTCATCTCGGGCGCAGACAGGTTCAGCAGCTGTGCCTTGTCGACGAGGTAGTGCTCCGCGCGCGGGCGGGCGGGGCCCTTGGCGAAGTTACGGAAGCCATCGGCGAAGGGCTCCATGTGGCCGATGGACTGGACGTCTGTTTCCTCCTGGGAGGCGTCCGTGCGGCCAGGGACGAACGGCACCTTGATCGGGTGGCCGGCGTCCTGCGCGGCCTTCTCGACGGCGGCGCAGCCGGCCAGGACGATGAGATCGGCGAGCGAAACCTTCTTGCTGTCGCTGCGGGAGTTGAAGCGGGATTGGATGGTCTCCAGCGCGGAGAGGGCCTCGCGCAGCCAGGGCTGGTTGTTGACCTCCCAGTCGCGCTGCGGGGCGAGACGGATGCGCGCGCCGTTGGCGCCGCCGCGCTTGTCGCTGCCGCGGAAGGTGGAGGCGGCCGCCCAGGCGGTGGAGATGAAGTTTCTAGCAGGCACGCCGGAGGCGAGAATCTCGTCCTTGAGCGTGGCGATCTCGGCAGCCTCGACGAGGGGGTGGTTGACGGCGGGGACGGGGTCCTGCCAAATCAGCACCTCGCTGGGGACCTCCGGGCCGAGGTAGCGGGCGCGCGGGCCCATGTCACGGTGGGTGAGCTTGAACCAGGCGCGGGCAAAGGCGTCGGCGAACTGGTCCGGGTGTTCGAGGAAGCGGCGGGCAATCTTCTCGTAGGCGGGGTCGAAGCGGAGCGCCAGGTCGGTAGTGAGCATGGTGGGCTTACGCTTCTTGGAGGGATCGTAGGCGTCAGGGATGATCTCGTCCGCGTTCTTGGCGACATACTGGTGGGCGCCGGCGGGACTCTTGGTGAGCTCCCACTCGAACTTGAACAGGTACTCGAGGAAGTTGTTGTTCCACTTGGTTGGGGTCTTGGTCCAAGTCACCTCGAGTCCGCTCGTGATGGTGTCGGGACCCTTGCCGGAGCCATGCTTGTTCGACCAGCCGAGGCCCTGGGCTTCCAGGCCGGCGGCTTCGGGCTCTTTGCCGATGTTTTCTGCGGGGGCGGCACCGTGGGTCTTGCCGAAGGTGTGGCCACCAGCGATGAGGGCGACTGTCTCCTCGTCGTTCATGGCCATGCGGCCAAACGTATCGCGGATGTCGTGAGCGGCCGCGACGGGATCGGGCTTACCATCGGGTCCCTCGGGGTTGACATAGATCAGACCCATGTGCGCGGCGGCCAAAGGGGTCTCGAGCTCACGCGAGTGAGTGGTCTTGTGTGAGGGCTCGTCCGCAATGACGGTGCCCCGCTTGTCGGATCCAGCAAATCCCTTCGAATACCGCGCGTCGTTGCCCAGCCAGGTGGTCTCTCGTCCCCAGTAGGCGGACTCGTCCGCCTCCCAGGTGTCGGGACGACCTCCAGCGAAGCCAAAGGTCTTGAAACCCATGGACTCCAGGGCGACGTTACCGGTGAGGATCATCAGATCGGCCCACGAGATCTTGTTGCCGTACTTTTGCTTGATCGGCCATAGAAGACGGCGAGCTTTGTCCAGACTGACATTGTCAGGCCAGCTATTCAGGGGAGCAAACCGCTGCTGACCCTGGCCGGCACCTCCACGACCGTCAAAGACACGGTAGGTTCCGGCGCTGTGCCAAGCCATCCGAATGAAAAGACCGCCATAGTGACCGAAATCGGCGGGCCACCAGTCCTGCGAGTCGGTCATCAGGGCACGAAGGTCCTTCTTCAGGGCCTCGTAGTCGAGGCTCTTAAAGGCGGCAGCATAATCGAAGTCAGCGTCCAGCGGGTTGGAGACGGCCGTGTGCTGGCGCAGGATGTTGAGCTTCAGCTGATCAGGCCACCAATCCTTGTTGCGGGTGCCGCCACCAGCGAAATTGGGCTGTGAGGGCTGCTCCTGGAAGGGACACTTGTCTTGTGTCATGATGTGCTTTTCTTGCTGTTATCAGGGGTATATTGATGATCAACGTGGAAGACGGAATGACGGAAGACGATAGAAGATGAGGGGTAGATGGAACCTTATAAGCTGAGCTGTCCTCGTCTGGGCCAGGTCTCATTAATAACGCGTCCAACCGAGCATAGCAATCACGATCAGCAGGTGCTTCCCCGCATTCCGGACAGTTCTCTGTCGCCGCTTTTTCAGTTTCAGTCGATAAGTTCTGGCTGGACCTTCTTACTCAGCTCCCGTCGGCCTATGATATCATGAAACATTTTTCCCCGCTTTGTCTTAGCCAATTAAAATGATGGATTGCTAATCCTGCTGACTGTACATATAACCGTCGGCAATGACTGGCCAGTCCCCTCGGACACCCCCGCCTTCCTTTCCGACTCCCTCGCCTTGCGGCGTTGTCCGTAATAATCACAGTAGTTAGGTATTATTGCAGGATAGAAGGATATCCCGTGTATAAATGTTCAATATGTCCTGGGAGTAGAATTGTTTGCTAACTGACAATATGCTACTGGTGTTTTTCCAGCCACCAGAAAAGTTCTCTGCATGTCCCATTCAAAGGAACTCGCCATATTACCCCTCAGACCGACTTACCTAAGAAAAAGTACCATACAGCGGATTCACATTCCTTTTCAGGAGAAACAATACCTACGAGTTTGTCCCCGAACTACCCTCGGCAGTTTGTCAGTTACTGTAGAAAACTGGAAAGTAGTCTCTTTCTGCCTGGATGGGTAAAGGTTATCTGTGTATTTACCGCAGAGAATATGAAATATATTCCTCTTCTGTGTAGGAGAGATGGTCATATTTGACGGTTCAGCAGCCTGGAGATTAAGTAGCGACTCATGTAAACCTGGACTTCGACAAGATATTTATTTGTTTAGTTAAATATGAGCAAGAAACACCGTTATCCTCTAATCATTAGAGGTGATTCTCTGCGAGGACTATCCAGGTCGTGCAATTAATCGTATCGATACTAGTGCTCTTTCAGCGCAGAAACACAGATATATATTGACGACATACCGTGGAGGAATCACGTAGGATAAACACTATTCATGCCCAGCGGTCTGTGAAACTATCGCTTCTGTATGAAAAATGACGGGCTTTCCATTCAAAAATACCACAAGTTTGACTCCCTCTGCTTTCATTCGGTCATTTTCAGCGCACAGGACGAAAACCATATCAACCACGCAGGCATGAACTCCCAAGTAATGCAATCTAGGACCGCTGCTTGTCCTAACCTAAACAGCTTCTATTTTATTTCTCCCTTGAAAGTTAAAATATATAGAACATTAAATACAATATGTGCTTATTATACTGGCAACAGTAATTACTTGACTATTCCAGTCCCCATCCCGATACAACGACCGAACCAGCACTCATACCGATATGGGTGGTAGTGGTACGGATGCTCACGATCCGTCAGGTCAAACGCCACGCTCGAATTCGGCTTGCCTCCACCGCGATCCGCGGACTCCTTGCTAAATTCGATACTCCTGTAAACCTCAGAATCCCATTATGTCAGTTTTAGATGTCTCCAGCCTCTATCAAGGGGTAGTATCTCGACAGAGACAAACGCAAGCACGGAAGATGCCAGTATGTCCTCCATTTGGTTCATCTCAAGATATCTGCTGTGATCTGCGCAAGTGAAGGTCTCAGTGTGAGCCCGTGGAAGATAGATCTGGAGTGCCTATAGGCAAATCAATTTTACCAAGTCAGGATCGCCTCAGAAGCAACAGGTTGCCGCCCGAGGCGTGGAAAATGACTCCGAGGTACTTTCAGCCTGAGAGATAGTCTTGGCCAGAGGGGTATCTGTAGATCCATGCTTGAATTGACGAATGAGGTCTAATCCGGCCTGAGCACGAACTCAACAGTCGGACCTGAAGACTTGGATTCTGGAATAATCCATCGATAGTCTTGTTCTTGCATGTAGAGATGAATTATTCGCCTGACTCAGCATCGAAGACACCAAGACAAGCATTCATAGGCGGGATCGTCCTACAATGTGTTCTGACACAACCACAGCAGTGAGCACACCTATTCTCTCAGTAAATAATAGCTTACAATCAAAATCCGCGCTAGTTTTGAGTCTACACTGATGTGGCCGTGACACGTAGGATGATGAGCACGCCAAGACCAGGGAAACGCAGATGGAAAACGCGGAACAAGCTTCATAACGTGCGAGGACTGGATGACAAGTTTGGTGCCCAAGCCGACAGATGTTGTTGCGACAAGCCTCAAAGTCAACGTTGAGGCCATCATGCAGATCATTGAGGAGATACAGTTACTAGGGAGGGGCAAACGACTCTTCATGATGCCAGGTCATGTGCAGGGATGGTTAGTTTAAGTGATGCGCTGCAATAAGGTAATATAGTTCTGCTTGGGCGCAGAGA